GATCTTGGCGTAAGTGAGAGCAGTGGGATGAATATCTACTGCGTCCTTCTTGAGGAAATTCCTGGGTAGGTTTGGCATCCAACCTTTCTCTAGAATAGCCGGCGCTTTTCCAGTGGTGGAGTGTATACTGGTGCTGTAGGCTAACTCAAGAATTGGTAATAAAGAAACCCAATCATGTGTGTACCCATCATTGTCTTTGAATTCTAGCCCATATGCACAGAATCTCCTGACCATATCCTCCAGAGTTTGGATCATCCTTTCTGCTAGTCCGTCGGTTTGGGGATGGTATGCTGTGGAAAAGGAAAGCTTAGTTCCCAGCATACTGTGCAATCCAGTCCAGACTTCAGAAGTGAATTTTGGATCCCTGTCTGATATAATAATTTTAGGAATCCCTGTCCTAGGCATAGCTCTGTTCCAAAACAAAATGGCTGTATCCATTGCTGAGTCTTCTTTAAAGCAGGGTATGAATATTGGGGATTTTGAATACCTGTCTACAATTACTAGGCACGCATTAAAGCTAGCTGCTCCTCCTGGGGATAAAGATGTAACCCAGTCCATGTTGATGATGTCCCATGGTTTGGAAGGCTCTTGGATCTTCATAAGCAAACCAAATCTCTTCCCAGTGGCTTTGTTTGCTTTTTGGCATCTATCACAAGAAGCGCAGTATTCAACTGTGTCCTTCTTCCAGTTGCACCACCATGCAGTGTCTTCTACTTTCTCTAATGTTCTGTCTTCTGAGAAATGGCCAGAGGAAACACTATCATGGCATTCATACAGAATGGTATTGATGCTTTCTTTTTCCGCTAAAACTAACACAGAATTGTGTTTCTCTCTGTGGTATAGAAGACCATCAAACAGTGAAAACCTGCCTTTGGAATAGGATGTCTTCCATGGTTCTTGCAAGGAGTTTTTCAGTTGGGTATCCTTGCAATTTTTCATGAGTATTTGGGAAAGGATGACAGTGTTGTTATCCTTTTGGTAACCTTCTCTAACTGTTTCAAAGAATTCATCCTTGAAATCAGATACGTGGATGCCCATGATGGGAAATCTGTCATCATCTTTATCCTCAGGGTCATACGCAGGGTTGCTTGGGTCGTTTGGTAAAGCCCATCTACTCAGTCCATCTGCATTCTTGTGGATATTGCCATCTCTATGTTTGATGCTACTATTTGCTCTGTACTCTTGGATTGCAATTTGCCACCTCAACATATGCCTGTTGGGAGTTTTCATATTCATCAATGATCTTAATGCAGTGCAGTCAGTCACAACTTCAAAGACACTTCCGTCTAAGTAGTAGTGTAGTTTTTCTACAGCCCATACTAGGCACAAACATTCTAGCTGGCTAGCACCATATCTAGTCTCACTGTCTTTTAGTTGTCTGGATATGAAAACAATAGGTCCTTCTCTCTTGATTTTGTTGATTGTCTGGACTTGGTGGAGTGCTGCTCCAAGGCCCGTCATACTTGCGTCTACATATAGTATGAAAGGGTATTTCCAGTCTGGAAAAAGGAGTAGAGGAGCAGAGGTTAGCTTCTCTTTCAGAAGGTTATAGGCAACAAGTCTTTGGTGGGTCATCTCAAATACCATTTCCATCTTTGTCAATTCAGTAAGTGGTCTTGCGATATCAGCAAAGTCTTTAATGTGCTGTCTATAATAGCCAGCAAAGCCTAGAAAAGATTGAACTTCTTTCTTGTTACTGGGAACAGGCTTTTGGAGGACAGCTGCAACTTTATTTTGATCTATGCCAATTGCTATTCCAGAGACTACGTGTCCTAAAGCTTTGATTTGATGGAAACCAAAATTGCATTTCTTGAGGGAAATTTTCACATTCATCTTGATCACTATTTTTAGGATTCTGCTGATTCTAATCAGATGTTCTTCCCAAGTATTGGACATAATGATGATATCGTCAATATATATTATTACCCATTTCTCATCAAGCTCTTTTCTGAATTCAATGTCCATCATCCGTTGGAAGTGTGACGGGGCATTCTTGATACCAAAAGGCATTCTTAGGTATTCATAAATGCCTTTATGCAGGATAATTCTTAAGAGGTGTCGAGAATCTTCTGCTATCACATTCTGGTGGAAACCTTTCAGGACATCCATGCTAGTCAAAAACTTGGCTTTGGCTAGGTTATTGAGGGTCTCACTGATCTTGGGTATGGGGTACCTGTCTGCTGCCGTGTAAGAGTTTAAAGACCTGAAGTCACCTACCATTCTGGACTTACCATTGTGCCATGCAATAATCACAGGTGTTGTTATTTCTACTACCTCGTTGTGGCCAACCTTTCTCAAGACATTTAATCTCACTAGTTCTTCTATATGTTCTTCAAGGGCTTCTCTGCTCTTGGGGCTAGCAGGGTAAGGGGATTTTCTGAGAAGAGGAGGGTAGGGTCTCTCTGTGGTGAGTGTCAAGTGGACTTCATGCCCTCTGATGGCTCCCAAAGGTTGATCTGTATTGGCAAAGGCAAGTTTGTTCTGGTAAAGCACTTCAAACAATTTCTCCTTTTGCTCTATGGTCAGTTTCTCATAAATCTTGCAATCTGACAGGTCTTCAGTAATGAATTTGTTCAGCGATGGGTCTAATTTCTTGACTAATGAGATCTCAGTGGAGGGGGGCATCTTATCACTGGAGTGGGTCTTGAAACTGAACTTCTTTCTTTTGTTATCATTTCCAATGGTAAAGAATCTTTCCTTACTATTTGTAATATCAAAACCATAGAGGGACATATAGTCATTACCTAGTATAAGATAGTTTATTCTTGCATTTTTCATGACTACGAATTCGGCTTTAATTCTGACTGAGCTTTTGGTATGGGGGAAAATTAAAGGAAGTTCTACTATTCCTAGAGGTTGTAATTGATCACTACAGCTATGGAATCTGGCATGGTTAATTGGCATCAGATTATCTCTCCATTAGGGGAGGATGGATTCTAAAAGGGAGTGGCTGATTATGGAACAAGAGGCGCCACTATCTAGTAGGCAAGAAAATTCTTCACCATTGATCAGGACGCTAGTGAGGTTTGATTTACCTATCAAATGGGCTTTCCCTTTATCTGGTTTACATCTCATAAGTCTAGCATCTTCCACATGGGAAGTCCGGCAATTCTTGTCCCAAGTTTGAGGTTGATGGGATTCAGCCTGGATTTCAGCAATAGAAAAGTCATTGGTAATTTCACATTCTACAGCACATTCGTCAAAATTGAAATCAATTAGAGGGTCTGACGTACCGTCATTGTCCAAGGCTAAGATCATATGGTTGTCATTTTCGGCTTCCTCTTCCTTGTCATATTGGCTGCCAGAGTCAAACTCACAATTTTCAGGCTGTTCTTTGTCTTCTTCATCAGAATTTAACCCTACATTGTTGATTCTGTTCCTCTTTTTTGGGCACTCTCTGGTATAATGGCCTGGTTGTTTACAGAAATGGCAAACATCTTTCCCTTTTGTGGCCTGAGGGTTAGATGGAGGGGGTCTTTTAGAGTCAGGTTCAATCTTGCTGGTTTCAACTTTGGTATTTTGGTTGTTGTTCCTCCAAGAATTCCTGTTAGTTGGTGGGTTATTGTTGTACTTTGTTTTATACTGTCCCATAGCTCTGTCAAGGATTTCTTCAATAATTATGACCATTTCCTCAAAGTTCATATCTTCTGCGGCTCTATTACACCTGCTTTTTACTGCGTGCTCTAAGGAACCAGGGCATTGTTTCAAGATTTTCTCACAGACTAGAGATTCGCCCAGCTCAGGTTGGTAAGCTCTAAGTCTTTCTCTCTGGGTGCTGAACCATTTGTGGACCTTTCTATTATCTACTGTGAAGTAGTCTTTCTCAAATTCCATTCTCATCTTCCACTTCCAATTATGAGTGCCAAACTTGTTTCTAATGGTGTGCTTCCACCAGGACCATGATCTTCTCCCATGTGTGTCTCTTATTCCAATGTACCAATTTTTTGCAGTATCAGTGAACAAAGCAGTCAGTCTACTTATTACCATGTCATCTGTCATCAGGTAATCTTGAACAAAGACATCAATATTTTTCAACCATAGTTCATGGTTGTAGGGGAGTTCTCCTGAGAATTTTTCCCATTCACTTGTTTTCGGGATACCTTTCCATAGTTGATTTCTCACATCAGAACTAATTTCTCCATGATCAATAAAGGGGAATTCTTCAACCCAAAGTGGAACGGGGTTTCCTTTCATGAGGTTACTTTTATCGGAATCATATTCCTCTTTATTAATCACTGCGGGAGCTATGAAGGTCTGGGAATTCTTTGATTGTTGGCAGTTAACTTCAAGGTCTTGAGGGGGCAGTTGAGGAGCTGTTTCAGATGGAATATTCAAAAGAGGATTGTTGAATTTCAAGTGAGGGGGAGGATCTCTATCTGCTGGCTCGATGATAGAGTCAAGTTTATTGTTCATGCCATATGTGGTCTGGCACACATCTCCTATTCTTCTCTTCAGTTGTTCAAATCTGTTATTTTCACTTATGTCAAAATCACTGATCTGAGTAGAAATATATTGAAAATTATTGGCTGTTCTTTCTTCAGTAGATCTCATGTCCTTTTTTAATTCATCAAACTTAGAGTGAGTTTGGGTATCTCTCACAAACAAGATGTCTTGAAAGTCTTCAAGCTTCTTGTCAATATGTTGTTTCACTTCTTCAACATAGCTAGGGCAATGATGGTTATTAGGCTCTTTGCTCAGTTTATCACTCAAACTATCAATTACTTTCTCAAGTAGATTGGGAACAATTTCATCTTTTATTAGCTTAGAAATTGAATTTTTCATAGAAGAGTTGAAATTTTTTAAGCAAGATTCTAACAGAGTGCTGGGAATAGAGTCTACTGTTCCTGAAAGATCAGAGAGAAAAGTGGAAAACAAATCTTTTAATCTATCTTCAATTAACAAAGGGACATCTCTAGACAGATCATTATTGATATTTTGGAGAAAAAATTCTTTATTTGATGGGACAGATAAGTCGTCTAGGTCAAAGCTATGCGGAGAATCTATTGGTGTGGTTCTTCCTGGGGGTTGCCTTGTCGTTGGACTTGGTTCCTTCCTCTTCCCCTCCCACGATATTGGAAAACTCTTCCGGCTACTCTCTCTGCTCTCATCAGATAATCCCCAACCTGCAGTAATCTCGTTGTCGGATCCCTGTGATTCCTCCCGTATCCTCTCCAGTTTCCTTGCGGGGCGGGGTGGAAACGTCGCTGCTGTGGCTCGTGTGTCTGGGCCACTTGTGCTTGATGGTGTTGTTCGTAGTTTGGAACAATTTGCTGTTGGTGCTGGGAGCCGCCCTGACGATAGTACGGGTGGTGATGCCCTTGCCTGTGCTGGTTGTAGTAGGCTGAAGCTGGTGGGGGTTGAGTAGATGGTGGCGGGGGTGGAGGCAAATGGTTGCCTCGAGCCAAATGTTGGCTTTGAGCGGTCTGTGGTCGCTGTGTTGGCAGTTGGTCTTGTGCTGGTTGTTGGCCACGACCCAGGTACGTGATCTCTGATGTCTGGCGGGCTAGGGGCAACGGAGCCGGGGAGGGGCTGATGGTGTGTGAGTGAGCTCGTTGGGTGATGGCTAGTCTTTGAACTTGCGGGGTAGGGTTGTGCTGTTCCGACCTCTCTAAGTCCGCTAGTTCTTCGCGAGCGATCCAATTCTTGCAGATCCTGAGCATCTCCTCCCCTCCAGCTAGATTCCTGATAACTTCCTGACTGCCCGCCGCTTGCTGGAGTGCGAAACGCATCATAGGTACGTTCTGATTTTCTCTCGCTTGGACGAACATCAGCCACTGGTCGTTGAATAGATTGATCACCGTTTCCAGTTGGGGGTTGTCCACTATTATGTCTTCTGGGCCCTCCAAGGCTGGAGTCTGATTCAGCGCTGGGGAAGGGGTTGGATTTAACTGACGAGGGGTCGGAGATTGAATCTGGTGCCCTGTCGCGGTATTCATGTGGACCGCGAATTCCTGGCGTTCTATGGGGCGCGGTACCGGTGTCGATCTGGTCGACATAGTTTCTAACGCTAGAGACGTTGCTCGTGAGTTGATGAGAGCTGGCGAGATGCCCTGCTCCGTCGGTAGCGCTCCTGACGTTCTCATCCTCGCGCTGGCTTCGCTGAGGGAAGGTAGGTTTCTGGTTAAACTTTCAAAGCCGCTCGGTTGCGGCTGGGCTGAGTTGGTATCGCGAGTCATCTCCTCGCTGTAGTCCAACAAGTCCAGCTCTGGCTCCTGAGTCCTGCTGTCGGTGGTCTCGTTGCGTGAGCTCTCTTCTCTCGCGTTCGAGTTCTCGTTGCTGTTGTTCGACAGAGATGTTGCGTCCATTTCTTAAGTGGGCACCCATTGCGACGACGAAGAAAAGTTGAAGGTAAAAAAAAATAATAATAAAAATAGGTTTAGCTATCGATTGATCGTTACGACGAGTTGGTGAGTAAACTTTGGAAGAAAAGGTGGTACCTTTAGGTGGTTTCCTTATGGGCTGCTTTTTCGTCGTTTTCTTATCGAAGGGATCCGGGGTGACTGCAGGAATCCGATCAATGGAAACGATTCAGGTTCAGCTTCTCTATCTTACGTTGAGAGTTGATCTATCGATCAGGCAATGTGAGAGCTGATTCAAGGAAAAGTATGTAACGGAAAAAAACAAGTACCTGTTTTTTTCTTTTTATTAGGTTTCTTTCCTGGTTGTCTCTTTCCGGAGTCTAGAGGAGTGAATGAGGGAGTCCACACGGGGAAACGGGTCGGTTGATTGTTATGTACTTCTCGCTTCTTCTTATTAGCTCGTTTTTCGACTCCTGGGTAACTAGTAGTGGCTATCGGAGTCCACTCGGCCGACGAGATATTATTTCCTTCTCTGGGAGGGGCTAACTTCTGGTTTTCGATGAGATCTAGATCTGTTTCTACTTCGGAGGGGATTGATGACAATTCCGAAGAAGAAGGAGGAGAATTCGGAGGAGTGTCAGGTATCACTCGTCTGCTAGCCTTCACTTCGCCGATTCGAGGAGGTAGTTCAAAGATTCGGAATAGAGAAAACAAAATTTTGGAAATGTTAGATCGGTTCCTATGATTTGAAGATTGAGCAAGCGTGCTGAGAGAAAGGAAATTCGCTTTGAGTTGAGGGAGATAAACTTTTGGCGAGCGCTTCGCGATGAATATAAAAAAAATTCAAGCGCTTCGCGATGAATATAAAAAAAATTCGAGCGCTCCGCGATGGATATTTGAGAAGGGTGTTTTGAAAAATTGAAAAAAAAAATTGAAATTATCAAAAGGTTTTTATTTATATGTTTTTTTTCTTTTTCTTTAGAAATATAATGAAGCTTTTAAGAGAGAGTTTTTTTTTTTTTTCTTTTAACTTTTTTAGAGGCCTGATAAATGATGATTAGAGTTTGAGAGTATGATTATAAGAGGTCTAAAGGAATATATTTCCCGATGAGGCCCCCAATTGTGAGCCTGGGTCTCAACAGCAGCGGTGGGCCGCTACGCTACGCTACGCTTTTGGCCCAAAAAGCGTAGCGTAGCGGCGCTTTTTTTGCGCCAAAATTTGGTAGTGTTAGCGCTTTTGTAGCGCATTTTCGCTACGCTACGCTGCGCTACAGCGCTTTTAGCGGAAAAAGCGGCTAAAAACCGCTAAAAACGGCTGTAGCGCAGCGTAGTGGGCCCTTTTTTGTGGCCCACACGCGTAGCGTTAGCGGTGTCGTGGCGGAATTCCGCTACGCTACGCTTAACGCTAACGGGAATTCCGCTGCGTTACGCTACACTAACCGCTACGGTTAGTGTAGCGGCCCACCGTTGTCAACAGTGACAGCAGGACACAAGGATGGGGGGGGCAAATCTAGATGTATTTCTGAGGGATAAGGAAATACAACTAGAAGGAGAGGAAAAGAAAGAGAAAGAGAAAGAGAAAAGAAATGAATAATAATTTTTTATTGTTTATTTGTTTTATAATCAAGATTTGATGCAGTCTTACTTTCCTGAAAAGGATGGCTGTTATTTAAGCGGAATTAATCTACGCCTCCTATCAACAGAAACTGAATAGGGTACTTGGTATTGATATATCAATCCAACCTCAATTTTTTAGATCAAAGACCAAGGTTCTTCAAAGGGAAACCTAGGTGGTTTTCAGTTATACCACCAAACAGAGAGTTAAGATGACTTGAATTGAATTGATGATGATGTAGGCAGAGGTTTAGTAGAAAAAGAATGATGGGATCATTCAGAGAGACTGAGAAGGAACTTAGCAGAAAGATGCAAGCTGAACTTGAAGGAATGACTTACTGTTTGGTGATCCTGACACTGAGAGTGGGAAGATTCCAAAGAGTAAAGGACTCCAAACGATAACACGGCGATGATACGGCGGTGAATCCAAGTTGAGGTATGCTGGTTTTCTGGTCTGAGTTGGTTCTGGTTGGGTCTGAAGCTTGAAGATCCTGAAAATGCGAACTCAGTGTCTACTGAGAGAATTTTCAGAGTTGGATTACATAATCACAACATGTACATGTGGTAGGGAGTTGGAATTCCAACTTGGTAGATATTTCACAATGGTACGGTGAAATATTACAGAGTCTGTGAAGGAGAAGAGTAGTGTAAAAGTGTGTAGGGGTGACTAAGGTTAAAATTAACAGAGGAATTCATTTCTGAAGTCAGAATGCAATAAAAGATTAAGATGAAAAAGTTACAGTAGGGATTTGAATGAAAAAGGAGGACTTAGGCAGTCTTTTGGCCAGCTTGGCTGGCTCTAAGGCTGACACCGTGGGTGTTTCCAGCTCGCTTTTGTTGGATCCACCATTTTAACGGATTGATCGGTTCGTTGTTGTCCAAGATGAGTCCCCCCGCCAGCCACACCTCCAAAGGGTCTGAGGAGCAATGACCACCTCGGGCAGCAGCTGCGCTGCTAAGGCCAGCTAGCATGCTAGTCTTGGCCTTTGTAGATATAGATGTCAGTGTCAAATCGCTGTTGAATTTATTAGAGTGAACGATTTACCTTAGAGCTTGTAGTAGCTAATGATGAGTTCATCGGAGCTGATGCTTGAGGCTTAAAAAATGTCAACCACATCTCCCAAGTAAGCCTTATAGCCTCGGAAATCCACTCTGGTTCCCATTGGGCTAGCTTGAAATATTCATCCCTAAATGATGGGTGGAGAACCGATGAAACTCTATGCATTAGTACAATCAAAGATTGATTTAGCATCCAAAAAAAAGAACGTACCAATGGCTATCCTATAAAGGGGTGAGCAGTCTGTTAAGCTGTAGTACTTATTGGTTATCTTTAAACCTATCCGACAGGCATTTTTCAGAGCTGGTGGGTACTTGGAGCCACTGATTACTGTTGACAAATTCTCAGTGATTTGATCAATGAAGACAACAATCTTAGCTAGGCGAGCCGAGCCCGATATCAATAACTGAAGAGTGATCTTGCAGAATACGTTGAGAAGGTTGGCCAAATCTCGTGCCAATGCAATGTCTGACTCGTCCAAGTAGTGTTTCCTCTCAATCCCATGTTGTTTGTGACATTGCCACACAAGGCTGGGATTCAGATAACCAACCAGGCTGTGAGTAAGGGGCAAAGTAGAGAGATGAAGCAGGATCACGGAAAAATGAGTCAGAAAAACTATTAAAGCTTATAACAACAAGATTGGAAATGACTCACTTAACTCCTCCTCGTCAGTTGTTTCAATTGGTGCTGTAGATGTCGGCTGATCATTGTCTTCACCTTTGGTTTGATCAGATTGATTTTCCTGGGTAGAAGTAGTATTACGCTGTTGTGATTGGCTGCGAGAGGGTGAGGGGCTTGATGGGTGTGATGAGTTTGGTTTCTTTCGCTTCCGGGTGGATGATGCCATGGTGGATGGATGGTTGAATGATGATGATTGCCTAGCGGATATGGCTGAAGAGCAGCTTGATCGTGCTTGAAACATGGCCTACCCCCAAACCCCCAAGAAGAATAGGGGGTGGAGACGGGTACACCCGTGCGGTACCCGGGTAGCCCAATTTTTTTGGCCCAAAGTGGATACCAGATACCACACCTGTACCGCCTGACGGGTATTTGCGGGTATGGGCGGTACCTGCCAACGGGTACCTAGTACCTGCCGGCGGGTACCCAAATGCCATCTTTAGTCCGATCCCCCACCACATCCCGACTGAGCCATGATTCTCAGGGCAGACAGGTCAGTGCCAACCTGTCTGCAACTGCGCAGTCAAGCCAACACGGTCAAATAAAAAATATCGACCCATGGTGTAGCTGTAATGGTAAAGCAACAAATGTTTGCTGGTAGAGATTGTTTGTTTGGACCTAGGTACCTGTTTATACCTAGGTACCTGTTCATTTTTTCAAGAAAAGGTACCTGCAAAAAGTACGGACAAACAATCTCTGTTTGCTGGTTTGCAATGTTATTTTTATTGAAATTACTCATTTTTTTGATGAAAATGATGTTAAGGGCTTGAGAAATGTCCTCTATAACAGGAAATACAGCCATTTTTAGGTTGATACGGGCTGTATTTAGAGATGGTCGCGGATAATCCGCAGGCGGATACCCGCCAGTGCCAGCGGTGTGGTAAGCCAATCCTGAAGATCCAAGCACATCAAGAGTACAAATCACGGAGGAATCACAGGATCAAGACACCCCAGAAAGCTCCTCAGACCCTCAAACAAATCCAAACACCACTCATGAATCTTCTCAAGCACAGACCACATGGATAATAATATTTCCCAGCCAGAAACTCCCCACCCTTGAAACGTACTCCCCTCCAAACATATTCCATTCTTCTTACCCCTTGTGTCTCACACTAGTAAAAATCCCCTTGTCCATGAAACAGTTATTTCCTCCTATCTCCTTCCATGAAATATTCTGCCCCTTATTTGTTTCATACTAGTAACCTTGGGAGCATTTTCCCACTGCTTGTTTCCCCTGTTTTCTCTGGATAAATTATTTCCCTTGTTTCATACTCTTCATAGAATTTTCCACATATCTTACAACCACAATCTGGCCACTCCCCAGAATTTTGTATATAAGGAGCTTTGTTTTTCCTCTTCATTTGTTCCCCATCAGATCCTGCCCCAGCAATTCAGATAACTGATCACCCACTATTAGCCAGGTATTTGCCCATCAACATTTGGGATACCTTGATTTGTGAACAAGTATATTTAGACTAGTAAACATAAGAAACATTAGACATACCATCCTCAAGAAATCTCCAAAGCCACACCTTTCCTTAAGAGTCCATACTCTTATATTTTCTTGTTATCAGAGAGGCAGCCCAATAAAGCACTCATCCCTCTCAAGCTCTATTCCTCCCAAGAGTAGTTCCACAAGTGGTGTCCCAACAGTGGCCCAGCAGATCTTTGGTTTTCAGTCACTACCACTTACAGTTTCTATGCTAAATATACAGTCACAGATTAGCTAGTTACTACCAACCCTATTAGAATTCAGAATTTTTATACCTTAGCATTCCCTGCAGAAATCTTCATTGGTAAATCTGCATCAACACAAAAATCATTGGATCAACAGCAACAACACTATAACAGTAGAAATCTCAACAACTTCTCCACCACCATGAATTTTCCACCAAGAAGAAACTCCCTGTCTGGACCTACCCCTAGGATCAACATGGCCAATTTGGTCATCCCAGCTTGGAGAGGAAAAGTCTTACCCCCTCAACTACCCCCGCATCAGTACTATAACCCTGGAACCACATTCTACCAACCTCCTCCTGCCCATACTCCAGCATTTAACCCTGGACCAATGAGACATCCCCAACCCTCAGAAAGTGATTACTTGGAACCCTTGGAAGTTCAAGAGCCCCTTTACCACAACAGGACAGAAAGTCAGGATACAGAGCCACCAGGACCAGTAAAGAATATTTCAACTCAGCCAACTCACTATCTGGAACCCAAGAAACCTACCCCCATCCAATTTCTGGAAAGAACAGAAAAATTGAGCATTATCTACAGACCCAAAGATGGAATGCCTTTCACAAAGGAGGAATATGCTAGAAAGGATTTGCAATGTTTGGTCAGCTCCACTATAGGCATGGGAGGAATAAAAAATCTAGAACACCTCCAACTATTCAGAATCCAATTTGAAGCAATCACTCACTACCTCATCAGAAATGGTCACAATTTACACATGGATGAATTTTCAAACTACCTTTGGAGATCCCTCAGCCTAAAGTTGGAAAGGTTAATATCTGATCCACTTATCTGGGATGGTCACTTGATTTTGGGAGCAAATTTCCATATTGCAGATATACCATCCTATGGTGTTATTCTGGAGTATATTGACAGGGAGTTCAACAAACTGGACAAAATACAGGAAGATTGTGATCAATCTGCACAAGAAAATGGACAAAACGATCAGAATCAATTCCCTCAAAGGCCCATGGAATATTCTAACTCAGAAATCCAGTTACCACTCACAGAAAATTTCCCCCCAATACTTTCTTCAAATTTGGATGCCTGCCCCCTGGCGTTAGGACATGACCAATCCCTGGAAACCTTGGAAACCTTGGACAACACAGAAACAAAACACTTTGGATCAGAAACAGAATTATTCTCACCAGGTACCATGATTGAAGAAAATTGCTTCCCAGTAGCACCTGTCACCTTGGAATATTCCCCTCAGCTCCTGGAAAATGGCCCTCAGCTCCTGGAAAATAGACAACAATTGGAACCCTTGGATGAAAATGAAGCAGAAAATATTGGATCAGAAAGTGAAATTTGTGCAGGAATCATATTTTCAGAAGAGGACTTTTCAGTAGGAAAAAGTTGAAGAAACCACAAGTACCCCTATTCCTGAAATGCAAAACTCCCTGACAATCCTGTTGGAAGATGAAAATGATGAAAAATTACAGTCAATTCAGTCCCCCACAATGTATCCTACAGAATTTTTACCTGAAGGAATTGGAACCCCAGAGGAAACCATTTCAAATATTGCACCCAACTTATCTCTAGAAATTGATTCCATTCCCCATTCCAAACTGATTTCCATGCAGACCCATTTTGCAGAACCTCTCTACAAAGATGCCAAAGCTGAAATCTTCTACCAGGAACCAGTTTTTATTCCTCCAAGTCAAGGATTTGATCCTCAGAGAAACTTCAAGAACATATTAGGACCCTACAACAAGGAAAAAGACCCTGGAAGAACCAAAGATATAATTTTTCAATCAGCCTACATCACAAAACTTCTCCCAGAAAATATTTCTCCAAAAAATCACCAAGTACCTCTCCACCAACAGAAATTGCCACCCTTTAAGCCCCCTGATACCAGTCAAACTTCTCTCAAACCTCCTCTCACTACCCCTGAAAATCTTGTAACAAGAAGATCTTTACCCTTCATCAAGCTAAGAATAAAACCAATCGGTACAAAGGAGCCCATCTCAGCATACAGTCTCTTCTCAGTGATATTCGGAAAAACTAACTTAAAATCTTCCTGGTGCCCTCTTAATCAGATAGACCCTCTAGAATCATTTCTTGGTTGGCATACTGCCTTCACAAATCAACCTGAACTAGAGATCGTTTGTCGGTACCCGTTGCTAGGTACCTAGTACCGCTCAGCGGGTACCGCCCGCTAGAGCTGGTCGCTACGCATCCGGATATCCGGCTGCTTTTTCAGGCCAAATGGCCATCCGCACCCGCTAGCGGGTATCCGTCGGCCGCAGCGGGTATCCGAGTGGGTATCCACGGATACCCGCCCTTTAAAGGGCCGGCGAGGCGGCTGGAAGGAAATCCTTCCAGCCGTTGAGGTACATGTACCTCGTCGGCTGGAAGGGTTTCCTTCCAGCTGGCGAGGTACATGCTCGACAGCTGGAAGGAAATCCTTCCAGCCGTTGAGGTACATGTACCTTGTTGGCTGGAAGGTATACCTTCCAGTCGACGAGGTACATGTACCTCGTCGACCGGAAGGATTTCCTTCCAGTTGACCGGCGAGGTACATGTACCCCGACGGCTGGAAGGGTTTCCTTCCAGCTGTCGAGGTACATGTACCTTGCTGGCTGGAAGGAAACCCTTCCAGCCGGTGTGGAACTGCTCAGCTAATGAGTGAAGAGCTTGGAGGGGATAAATATTAATAAAACTATTAGGGTCTTAGTTAATCGACTCCCAGAAATTGGAGTTCCGACTCCCAAATTTCTGGGACGTTGAGAGGACCGTCTCATGACGGTCCTCAGGACGTCCAACCCCGAAATTGGGAGTCGGAACTCCAAAACCTTCAAAAGGTTTGGGAGTCGTTCCCCTAACAAAAAAATAATAAAATTAAATAAAAAATAAAAAGTAAAAATAAAAAAAATGAAACAACAATACGAATGGTCTCAACGGCCGAGAGGAATCCCTCTCGGTGTGGTAAGCCAAATCAAAACATCAATGCCTCAATGCGCCGTACAATCAGGACAGGAAGGCCCAAACACCTTGGTCCTCAAGATAGAAATCTCAAGGCACCCAGACCACACGTGGGGGGAAGAAAGTCACCCCTCAGACAGAGCCAGGGTATTAGGAACCCTCCTTGATTTCTCTTGTTTCATTCTTTCTCTTTCTGGAGCTGCTGCATATGCACTCCTCTTTCTCTTATCTTTCTGTTTCACACTAATGCACCCACTTGGGGATTAGTCTCTTACTTCTATGCATGCGCCTGCATGTGGCTATGCGCGTCTCAGACTTACGCACCCTTTTGGGAAAGCAGGCTATGTCATTGTGTCCTCTTTGGTCTTAGCAGCCACCTTCTGGGCCGTGGTGTTTCAGTTTGATATTTTTCACTTGATCCTTTTCTCAAACCACAAGCTGGCCACTCCCCAGATTTTGTATATAAGGAGCCATGTTTTCCCCTCATCATTTGTTCCCTCATCAGTTCCT